GCCATCTGCCTGTCCTTTTAAATATTCCATGAAGATTGATTGTAAATTTTATTTCCTGTTTTCATAGTAGATAAGTTTATAATTAAAGAATTTCGCAAAACAGTGGGGTCTCCAAGAATAATAATAAAATGTCCTTCAAAATATATTTGATTGCAACTTGAATTGTATTATAACTATGGACGTGACTTCGATGCACTCGACTGATGGAAGGTAACTACAAAATGACGCATTCAAATAATTTCAAATTAGGAAATATTTTAAAACATTTAAGACACGTGGACTCAATCAAATGTGTTACACTGAAGTGAATAAAAACCCTATTGATAAAGTTTTACTTAGTTTTTGGGCTGCAATATGAAAAAATTGTAGACCTATAAATTTCCACTGTCGTCCGTCTGCCTGTCGTTCCTCAATTTTTAGAACGGTGTTAGGTAAATGAAATTCAAGAGCTTAGGGGCAGAAGACTCCGATTAACTATATATTATGAAAACCGGGAGTCGTGCTATTTTAATTCAAAAATTTTCCCAAGAAGACTTTTATAATAGGCGTTATATAGGGATGATAAAGGATGGACTATGGCCTTAGCCAGAACAATTTTGAAGATTGCTGATTATCCTATGCAGATTCAAACTCCGGTACTTCGGAATGACAGGTCGATGGTTTAATTATCCCGATCATTCTCCAATCCGCTTTTGGTGTTGCGAAACAATGAATATTAATAGCATTACTGCGCAGACAAGTGACCAAGGCGTCAGCGTACTACTATGGGGAACCCGGGATCGAATATGGGCGAGACATCAGAAATTCTTCGTGGACGGTCTATCCTGGATGTGTCGGGCCCGTCTCTTAATTTTGGACTTGGCTTGATTTAAATAGGCATTTTCAGTGCCCACATGTTAGAAATAGCCCAGAAAACGGGTATATAACATAAATAATAATAATATGAATGTGGATTAACAGAAACTAAGTTCGGTCTTTGGCCTAAAATATCGATGGAAAATCTGCATCTACAGACGTTCCCTGTTTACATTTTGGTTCATCAAGTGTTTACAAAAGTATTTTGGGTTACATAAACGCTTTATGTGATTATTATTTCTTTAAAATACAAGATCTGTATTTTAAATTTAGCACAGAAAGATTTAAAGTAGAAAATAATATAAATTTAGCTGTTGTTTTGGTTTATTTGTTTATGGCAACGCGACACGTGATCGATCTGCCAAGGGGATGCCTCCCGGGAGGACTTTCTAAGTCCTCATTTACGTGTTACAAACGTGAAGGAATCCTGAAAACTTCACATGGCCAGCCAGTTGGCTAGGTTCGAACCCACAACCAGTGTTTAATAGTGTTATTCACTCAGTCACTGATGGACCTATATAGATTTAGCGTCTAATAATTTAGTATTTGATAATTTAATTATTTAAAAATAATGTGATTTAAAAAAAAATAAATAAAATTTAAAAGTTTTACATCCAAGAATAATTAGTAAATTTGCAAATTTTGAAATTCTCAATTAAAACTTAATTGAGAGATTCACTTAAATACTCAACATGTTTAACTTTATGTTGTGTACTTAATTAAAATTTTTAATTGTAGAAATTATGTCATATATTTATATAAAATATTAAATTTCTACCCTAAAATAGTTTTTATTTATCATTAATTATTATTTTAACCTGTATTCAAAGCGACTAATTAATATTTAATTTCTATGAATTTCATCTGTCTACAATTGAATATATGGGAATTATATAATTATATTAGCAAGGATATAATAAATGCAATACAGGATATAATTTAATAAAAAGAATCCCTTGTAGCTTCAACGTGAAATGAATACGAATGAAAAATAAAAATTAGTCAGACTGGTTAAGAACACAGATAATTACTTCTTATTCATTTCTATTGAACATTATATGATCTAAGTTGCATGAAAGCCCACCGAGTGAACACTGAACGCTGAACACTGAGTAACACCACGGAACATTGGTTGTTGGTCGTGGGTTCGCGCCTCTCCAACGGACTGGCCACGTGGAGTTTTCCGAGTTTCCTTCACGTGTTTAACATCTAAATAGAGGCCAGTTTTTACAGGAAGTATTCCCAGGAGGAATCTTCTCCTTGGCAGATCGCCCAAGTGTTGCATTTCCTTATTCCATCAAGTTCATTTCTTATATTTTGTTTGAATTTCTATTAAGCATCTTATAAATTTTTCATTACGGTAATTTCTATTATAAAATGATTTTCAAGGATAAATTGTATTGTTGTATGATCTGCCCAAACAATGAATTTACATTTTTAGATGCAATTTATTTATTCATTTATTTTCATAAACGTTCATTAATCTTTAAAATCGTTGTTAGAGTCATGGCATATAATAAACATCAAAATATATTGTATTAGATGGTAAATTATGAATCGTATTAGATACTGACCCAAAAGTTAAATAATCACATCATTTTTTAAGTACTTCCGCGATTTCTGAGCGTGTCAAAGCGCTATTTTGAACAATGTTTGCGTAGTTTGTATATAATAAAGTATTTGAAATTGGGCCACTCAGTATGAATCAATAGCATATAGGCGATCTGCTAAGGGGAATGCTTTTCGGGAGGACTTTCAACGTGAACCTGGCCGCCCATATTTAGTTATTAGAAACGTGAAGAAAACCAAGAAAAAATACGTGAAAGTCTTTCGGTGAGGTGCGAACCAGCGCTCAGTGGTTTTATTCATTCAGCCATTGCTGGGCCGGAAAAGGATTTATTTATTTCATAGATGGATCATTGCGTGAGTATTTATTAATATCAATTATCAATGCTAATTGTTTTCAAATATATATTTTTAAATCAGTTGTAATTTATTTCAGCTAGGAAATATGAATATAAAATTCAATTTAAAAAAAAAATAAAGCACTCTTTATATGTACATGGGTTAAAATTTTAATAGTGAAAATTTACAGACAGCAGTATGATAAAATTAAATGTGAATGACGTTTATACATATCTGAAAGACCAAATTACAGATGTGGAAACTTACAGCTTGTGTTTTTTATTATTTGATTAGACAGCTTATATGAACATCTTAGTTAGCTCGGTGGTAATGGGAACTTCTGAAACGTCCTCCACACTCAACCGATATTTCCATATAATTTTGATTTTTTTGCTAGGTGAATGAACCAGTTTGTGAGTAACGTTTTTAATTAAGAGAAATTACATATGCAATGGATCGTGCAGTGGCAGATGCCAATAGAAGTAAGTATGGCATCGAACGTCTTCCAAAATCATAACAATCGGTCCCACTAATGGACGGAGGCTATATTGAAATATTAATAATAGGTATCCAATTTTCTCACTACTAAAATTTCAATCCTCGTATATATTTACTAAATAATTTTTCACGAAGAGCCATGTAAGGATTCTCTGGAAAATAATTACCGTTGATTCAACTTTGATTGATCAATACCGTTGATTGATTCAACTTAAAGTTGCGTTAAATTATTCCTATTTCGTTCATTCGCTCTTTACATTTGTAAAGTTACGACGACAAATAACATTAAAATTAATTAGTTTTATCGCAGTAAAAATAATTATTATCGCTTTGTAAATATCTTTATCATATACTCACATTTGTGGCTATAGAAACTTTAAAAATAACTAGGTGATAGATTGATAAAGGTTTCATCCCTATACTGTATTATCTATGTAATACAAGAATTTTCGTTTACTTATTATACACATATATCTTTGTAAAAATTCTCCGCCCTGTTAGTACCAAGAGGACTCTTTTTTTTAGCAAGCCAATTACGGGTTCGTCCAAGCCACAAGGGGCAGCCAAGAGATAAGGCACGAGGGCCTACATATCCAGACGGACAATCCCACGAAAAATTCTTGGAATTTTTCGATCCGTTCGTATTCGATTTTGGGTCTTCCAGAGCGGCGGGTCGTCACCTTAACCGCTCAGCCACCTATCCTCATTGTTATATTCGTATATGTACAGGGTAATTCAAAAATGGCGGATAAAACTTTACTGTGTGATCAATTATTCAATTTACAATAAAAAAAATGTTAATATATTCCTGTCTGATTCTCAAACATGATCGAATTACAGATAAAAGTCTTCATTTCGTAGCCCGCCCCTGGCGATGCGCGAACCCACGAATGAACTACCTGTGTTCAGGGAACTGAACCGCTCGGTCGCTGGTGGGTCTATGTAGATTTTAGAATATTGATATACCGAAACCAGTATACAGTCGAATTCCTTTTATACGATTTTCAAGGGAAGAGAAATATCGTATAACAAGAAAAACGTACAAGTGAAACTACTTTTAAATTGCTTTCAGGCCCCGCCAGTGGCCAATCGGTTCCGTTCCCTGAACACTGGGAGTTTAGTCGTGGGTTAGCGCCTCCCCAGGACGGGTTGACCACGTAGATTTTGTTTAGGCAGGATTTTGTTTATCCACTTTGAAACTTGATAACTCCTGTGTTTTTTGTCGAAAATTTCTGAAATTTTGCAGGAAAGTTTGCGCATTAGGGAAACTGATGTTGTTAAATTTTTGTGGTTAAAAATCGAGGGGGTGAGAAGATATAGAGGGATCACGTGTAATATTTCAATTGGGATCGGACTTAATGAAGATTCTACTCGTTATTAGAATTTACAATTTTTTTTTTATTATAAAATTCATCCTTACCCTCAAAATTAATCTTTTTGATATTTTATAATAACTAATAATCTAAAAATTTTTAAAAATAAAATATCATAACAGATGGCGTCACACACGATTTTAAATTCTTTAGCCAAGAAAGTTAAGCAACTCGTTGATGAATTTTTATTTAATATTAATGCAATACATTTAATGAGTTTATATTTGTTATTATAATAATTACATTATCAATTTTGTAAATTAAAGCATTAAATTTGTAACAGATATGAAATTAAGATTATTATTAATAATAATTGTTTAAAGCTATAAAATTTCCTTAATAGTAATTTGAATAATAAGTATTTTTTCTGCAGTATTTTCAATGGTTGTTTGGAAGTTATATACTTATAGAATTGGGAACATTTTTCGGGTGTAAAACAGTGTAAGGATGTTTCAGGTTAACGTTTCTCTCTTCAATCTTATTCCCAATTTCAGCTAAATTTTTTTTAAATCTATAAAATAACATTGAAATGTATTATTTCAAGATCTTTCTTAATTTTAATTATTTTAGAATATAGTGAATTAAAATGCTTACTTCTGAATAGCTTCAACATCTGCAGGATCATATAAATATTGAATATCGAAGTTTCCAAGAGAATTAGTTCCACGAAAACTTAATACAGAAGTTATTGTCATTATATCCAAAGTAACAGAACGATCAGGTAGATGTTCAATTATATCTTCTTCTGTTAATGGTGTCTGAAATTTTTTATTCTTATTTTTAAGAATTATACAAATATAAAAATACAAACATAATACAACTTACTTTATCACGTGGCGGATCGCCATACAAACTCATGGGGTAATTTGGGACAAAACCGTATTCATCATATTGTAAGAAATTAGCTCCAGCATGACTAATGCTACAGATACTAATAATTGATGTGAGTAATTCAACGATTTCATCGATTTTAGAAAATCCATTATAATTTCCTGGTATACCCTGCAATGTGTTACAATCACGTTACATTTTATAACTTCGAAATTCTTTTGGATACATTGTTAGTTACTGAAAATTGATGAATCAGCGCGATATTGTAAGGCCAATTACAATACGCCATTACGGGCAGCCTGATCCTTAATGGTGAGGGATGAGGAATGACGTCTCGATTTGTATTGCCCGTGACAATAAGACCTAGTTTACCATAGAAAATGTTGGAGGCATTCCCCTTGGCACACACCATCCTTGTGTTGTGTTTTATTATGGAGAATCTGGTTTCCTCATGTTATACTTGGCCATGTGGCATGTATCAAAAAATTAAAGAATTCGCGTGATAAGTACTAATGATACCGCGTGATCTCTGCGTTGCTTTGATTGCTAATTTTATAAAAATGAAACAGTCGCATTAAAATATGAAGATTTCATGTTTTTAATGTACAAACCTGCAATCCAACTCCACCATTTGATTTATCTTTTACTAATTCTTCTCTCCATTGTTGTAATTCCCAATCTTCGGTAATATCTTCGGGATCTTCTATAAAGTATAATTATCTTAACATTTAATTTCTTTTATAAATAAATGATAATATTTATTATTGTAATTTACCGTAATAATGGATTATGACATCATTGACATATATTCTAATTGCATTATATAGAGCTACTGTATCATCTCTGAATGGATAATTTGGAAGTATATTTGATTCGAGTACCTGCAAAGGATAAAAATTTTTAATTTTAGGATATTAATCTAAACAGTTACTGTATTTCTCTCTCTAAATTATTACGCAGGATCCAAAATTTTGGATTATGTCATTAAAGTATGAATATTGTTTAAATTATTCGCAGCATTAAATTATTATTTGCCTAATAAGTTACGTGACAAATGATGAGACTGTCACTAAATAAATAAAATGGATTACTGCAACTTCATATTATCGTTAGATAAATAAATTGATTTTTGTAAATCTATGAAGATCAGTCTTAATATTTCTGTTTCCATAACATAAAATTAAGCAAGAAATACAAGATGGTTCTGCGAAGAAAAAGAAACTAATACGTACACCCCTGTTAGAAAATTCTTTAGGAATATTTCCATTTGTATCCATCTTCCAATCTTTTAAACTAAAAGAATAAAAAGCATTTAAAATATTCGACAAAACTTTAAAGTATTATTTAAAAATGATACCTCTTTTCAACTAATTGTATTACTCCTTCACGTTTGACTGACATTGTCCTATCAATCCATCCTCCGGGAGATATTATTGTTTCTATAGCTAATCTTAAAATTAGAATTTGTAATTATTAGAAATATAATGTGTTAAAGCATTTTAATGATTTCATGCGTAACTTTAAATATATTCAGTTTTATTATCGATGGATCAATAGATGATGACCATTTAGTTTAAACTTTCTGATTCAAATTCTTCTACTGTGAAATTGTTTAAGATTCTTCCTGCAAGATATTTTAATTTAAGCATATTTTTAACTCTGTTTCGATTATATTTATAAATATTTATTAAATATTTTCCATATAAAATTTTTCAGCAAGAATCATCCTCGTTGTGTGCTTTCTCTTTATTTACAGAATGAATTTTGATAACCATTGCAATGGATCGACTAATAGAAAAAGAAACCAGGAATTTAGTTAATTGTGTTAAAATTATTTAGTTTTTGTATTACTTTTGATTTTCTAGATCTTAAAAATTGATATACTTTAAGCACAATGTCCGAAATACGTAATGGATAAAAAATGAATAAGATCCTACAGGTTAGGAAGCCCTGAAGGGTCTTGCTTATTCAGTTGTATTAAAGCCACACCAATTATATTATTTGGTTGTAATGCATCAGTTAGGCTATATCAATGGGCGGATGCAATGTATCAGTTGGATTAGTGGCACATTGCTTGGTAAATCACCAGACAATGCATCTATTGATTTTTAAGATATATTTTAAGTGTAGCTACTGTCTTTTTTAAATTAGTAATATTAAAATAAGTTATAATTATTCATGATCCTTGTAGTTCTTGATTCAAATTTCAATAAATTTTCATTTATTTCTGTTAATTTGATGTCTCCAGTGGATTTTTCACTAATTAGAAATATTATTGAATTTGTGAAGAAGGTTTCCCACGTAAGATATACAAATATATGTCTTTTGGCAACTTTTTTAACATTTATAAGTAAATTTCAATGTAAAATATTTTAGTTTCTGACATGAATTAAACAATAGTTATTGCAGATTGTTTAACATAAGTTAATATTGTTTGCTTCGAATCGTTCACAACAGTTCTGCTAACATTAAAAGAAACATCATTAAAAATTTTAAATGGTTAAAATAATATTATTAAGTAAAATGTTTAAAAAGTTACATACTTATTAATGGCTATTACGTTAAAGAAATGAGGAGCCAATAATTTAAAAATCGGGTGAGAAGGCGAAAGATTACGATGAGTGCATATTGCTATTCCTTCCGCTAAGAAATGCGTAAAACCTAATATAAAATTATAAAAAATTTAATTTTAAATTCTAATATTTAAAAAAAATTTATATAAATACAAAAGTATGGACATAAAAAACATTAAAAACACATTTACATACAGATAAAACACATTAAAAATTTCAAGTTCTGCACACTTAAATATCTAAAAAAGTAATGAATAATTCAAAAATTGCAAGTGGGACACTGCAATCGGAAGAATTTCATACCTAAATGGGTACATGATTCGTGGTACATGACCTCAGCATGATTAAAATACATTTTGACCAAAAGCCAAGTATATGGAGGATCTGCTGGAGTAAACACCTACAAAGTAGAAAGATATAAAATAAGGAAATAAAATTGTTTTTGTAATCTTTCGTATGGAATCAATTGATAATTAATATTATGAATAGATGGTTAGTAGATCAATTCCTGAATCCTCATCGTAAGAAATCATGTTCTTACATTAATTTCATGTTTTAGCTTTTATACTGACATTAATGCTAATTAACTGGCATATTAATTTATCTCTTATCAACCTCTCAAGAATATTGTGGTGTTTCTCCTCAGCGCAATAATCGTCAGACTTTTGTTCTCTACAGATTTCTAGTTTTAGGATGCTGTATGGTTGTTTGAATCCTTGAAACCAACCATTAGAGGAAGCACGTGCCTGGGCAATGTAGACTTTGGAATGAAGCTGTTTTACTTTTGTAACGATCATTTGGGCCAGTAATTGATACACCTTCAGAGCGTTTTGAATTAAACCATCTACTTTTGTTGTTACGCTCAGTTCCACACGTTTTCTTTTTTCGCCTTTGCTCCTCTTCCCACTTTCATTCTCTTAAGAAAAAACTCTGAGGATCTCCCAAACGACAGGCGTGTCTGTGAAGGAAGTTCATTTTATAGACATTGCGAGTGAGGATCGGTTAATTATCGAAATCTCAGGTTTCGAAAATTAATCGAGAGATGTTGGCTCCATTCCTCACCACCCGGTCGCCCCATTGTGGGCCTGGCCTTATGGCCCTTAATGGACTTGCTAAAAAGAGGCATTCTTAGTGCCCACAGGACGGAAAGAGTTTAAAAAAGTATTTAAAAACCGTCCGATTAACTTCGAACTTCACCATTAATTAAATGTTTTAAACTCACCGGATTATCGGGTCCTTTTTCTTGAAATAATTGAATAGCAATGGGCAGAATATTGTCGTTATCGTCTAGATAAAATAACGCTATGGGCTTACACACCTAGTACAAAAATATATTTTAAGTAGACAGTTTAAATAATATAAAAAGTAAATTTATAAATTATTTTATAATTACAACATGATTTTCAGCAGTGTAAATATCTTCTAATATTTTTAAATCAATGATGAATATCCGTTTCTTTTCCATCGATTCTTCTAGGCTCGATCCATTAAGAAATGCTTCAACCATAGATGATTCGATACCAAAACTTGAAACAATTTTATATTTTTCGATATTAAGTATTTTAATAAAATAAATATTAATTTAACTATAAAATAAAAAAACTCACTTTTCTGGTATTTTATCACAGAGTTTCAGCAAATTAGGATTTACACCTTGGACTCGTTGTAATCCAAACCAATAATCTTCCATCCATTTTTCTAGAGACTATTAATAGAAATCATGTAAGAAACTAATTAGAATTTTATGACAATAAAAATTTATTAATGTGATAAATATGGATTCTGATCAATTGATGTTAGATATAACATCCTTGAAGGAATTCTATGGGGAACCATTTCCCCATAGAATATGGTTCAAATATTTGGCCATTACTTCATGTCTATTGGTAAGTCTTCTATAATGTACAGATAATCTATACTGAAATCGATTTTAATCTAGTATCGAGTGTGGATAACATTGATAAATTTAATGGTTTAAGACAATACAACTCTTGGGCAATCTACTGAAAGGAATGCCTCCCCGGAGGACTTTCTATGAGAAATTCGTCCCTAATTAACTATCAAATTAAAAAATCCAGCAACAAGTTGCCTAATCTTTCCGGCTGTTATGAGATCTTATTTAAAAAATAACTTTTATATTATTAATCATAAATAAAATTGTGTGTGGCGCTATTTGTTACATGATTTTTTTATAAATATCTTTTTATATTATTAGTTATCATAAAATAACAAAAAAATTAATTTCGAGAGTAGTGTTGAGTTTTATAAATAATTAATAAGTAAAATCTTCATTATATCCGATCCTTCTCAAGATATCACACATGAACCATTTCTATCTCTGCATCACCTCGACCTTTAACCACCAAAATTTAATAGCATCAATGCCTTTTATATATAAGTTACCATGCCAAATTTTATTTCTTAAACTTTACCCTATCCTGAAATATTAAAGACAGCAAAACGCACACACCCCTCACTCCCCGTGAATTTTCCCCCCTTTTTAAAAACTTTTTTGAGTTCAGGGGATTTCAAAACATGGTGATTTACTAGGATCAAAACATGGTGCAAAATACTCGGTGGATCAAATTTGACACGATTCCAATACTTTCCATTATTATGTATACATAATATCCAGGAAAGTTAAGCCTATGAAAATTAAGAATACTTACGTGCGGTGTATCTAAGATATTAAGAGGATGCTTAAATATATTTTTATAATCTTCTAATGAATCCCATTTTCCAGTAGTTGCATCAATTACAACAGTTCCCATTTTCGATTTAATAGATTGTGCCGTGATTTCGAACTGAAAAACATTTAAATATTTAACATTTTCATAAGTACATCAAACAGTATTTAAAGATAAAAACAGGTTAAATTACTTTGTCTTCGTAAGTAAATTTTTCATTGTCCGGAATTGTTTTGATCTAAATAAATAAAGGTTTCGTTACAATTGTAATTAACTATTAAATTCTAATTTAGTATTTCTCTAGAATGAGGAAATAGTAAATGGAAGAGGTCTATGAGACCTAAAAAGCCTGTTGTGTGGGGACGAATGGATATCAAGGAGACATATACACACTAGCGCTCTATAGCTTCTTGGGTTTAAGGCAAATTTATATTATAGAACCACATGTACAGTGTTGACTTCAAATTTTCTTTCGGGAGAATGTTTTGAGTAAATCTTTTATAAGAAAATATTTCTTCAAAACTGAGAACAAGGCAAGAAAATATTTTCTCAAAAAGGCACCAACGGGGAACCAGGCAGTTGCCTTTTTTGCCCACGGGATAACGCACCACTGCATACATGCAGTAAATTCTGCCTCCATCTACTTGAATATCTGTAGAGAGTAATTGAAGTATCTCCAAGCAGGCCTACGATTGCCACTGACAGAAAGGTTTACTGGGGCAGTCATCTGAGAATCCCAATTGATGTCCCAAAAATCCAACATCAAGAAAATCCATGGATTCGATCAAAGGAGCCCGTACATTGGGAAACGTGCCCCTTTTCAGGGGCACGTTTTCCAATGTACGGGCTCCTTTCCCTTCTCGGTTCCCTTTTTTCGTAATCTCCAAGGGAGACACAAACAAGAGAAAATTCATATTTCTAGTCTATTCAGCAAATATAAAGAAACTAATGCACGATGTTTCTCCATTGACCCATGCAACTTTGTCGTATGTTGACCAATACCCCATTCCTTGTTTTCAAAACCAAGTTACCCCGCCATTTTATGGGAGCGCTGATTCGATGTTGAATCATAGAGTTTGAAGCTTCTTGCGTGATGTTCGATGCCCCTTTTTATATCCTGTGCCCTCTTTTTTATAGTCTGCGGGCGCCGCTAGATTCGATCCAGGATTCTTATGTTGCATCCAGTAGAATTTAAAATAGATAATTTAATAAAAATTAAATGATTTACTTAATTTTTCATTAAATTACATATAAAAATTATTAAATGATTAATTTTAAGATATTTAATTAAAATTTAATGTAAATAACGCTAACCTGTACGGGACCACCCTCAATATAAACTTCATATTGATAGATTTCCCTTTTCTTCTGAAGTTCCTTCAATCTCTGTTCTTTGTGGGGATCAGATTGAGGTAGAAAGCAATCGTACTTCTTTAACATATATTTTGTATCATTTTCGATCCATCTATGGACTGGAAAGATTATTTCTTTTCCCTCGTCTTCTATAACAATTTTTTCCAGGTACCATGTATCGTTGGATTTGCGAGAATCCTTACGTATCTGTATGGTATTGATGCTTTCAAAGCTATCATCTACTGATACTCGAAATGTATCCGTTCTTTTTCTTTCAAAATCATCTCTCCACCATTTGTCTAATGAAAATTCTTCGCTTCTTCTTCCATCTTCGTTTTCTATCGATAAGTAAACGTAAGCATCTGTTCCCGCTCCTACGTAAACACCTGTCGTTACCTTTACGGTTAATTGTTTTCTGTAATAAAAACAGGTTTTTAAAGAAAAAAGTTCATGCATTTTTCAAATACTGTGCGAACCTCTAAACGGCGGAGACATTTTTATATTTTTATCAGTGACCGTTCTTCAGAGATTTGTTTAGTATATTACGTTCAAAATAAAGAAAAGAGATTATAATGACAAAAACTGAATATTTTCGATGATAGTGGTGAATATTAAGTGATGTTATCACTTATTTACAATATTTAAAGAATTTGATAAATTTTCTCTGAGATAATCAATGAATTGGAAACTGGGAAACCGGGAATTGATTGTTGACTTCCCAAGCAGAAAGACAAAGTTTTACTGCACACTCAGCTGATCGATAATCGACTGACGAATTGTAATCGCTACTAAATACACACTAACTTAACTATATGTTAAATATCTGTATATAAAGTAATAAATTTTACTTATTATACAAAATAGTAGTCAACTTTAATAGGTAGATTTTACTAAACTAAAAAAAAAAAAAAGGGAAATTATCGGTCACTTTACAGAATTTTTTCAAATAAACTGACCGTTAAAATCGTAGAATTGATTATAATTTTAATGCTCTTGTAATTATTAATTATAATAAAGCGAAGTAAATAATAAAAACATACTTATTTTATAGAATTCTCTTTTGTAATTTATAAGAAGCTGGTATAACGATTTGGTCGTACAATGTCCAGAACCAAAAGGCCCTTTTAATGTCTACAGGGCGGATTTTATTTATAACTAACGAAGGTACTCGGCGTTACATAAAATTATTATAGAACATTTTAAAAGATGCTATTATTTAAACGTTGAAATTTTTCGAATTGTTTTAAAACAAACATTCTTAAGATTGGTTTACACAAAGTAATTGTTCAGCACAACACACTCCAGTATATAATTGTCATAGCAACATTTCGGGACTGCAAATGTACGTGTTGGATCGCATGGCTACCTTGATAAAAGTTAGCAAAAGAAAGGATGGCACTGAGAAGAAGCAATAAGGAATACGCTTTTGGGGGTCCCTGTTGGCCCAGTCCACTTCTGCTGTTCTGAAACAATATTGCAATTCAACAGTTAATAGAGTAACAACGTTTGTAGAACGTAACTATTACAAGCAAGAACTGAGGCACTTATGCAGAATACACGTATATGCAATCAGTAACTTCTTTGCAAAGAGACATGGCGTGTGATAAAGAAATATCGATAAAGACACTCGTTTCACTTCATTACGAGTATCTATAGAGACATTCATTTTTTTAAACATTCGTTAAAGAAAATGAATGTCTGTATAATCTAAAACTAGAAGAATATTTTGCTAAATCTTTTAAAACAGTTTTAAAAAATAAAGCAATCAAATAAAGACCAATGGTAAGTACTTTGGATCGAACTTTTTCTTTGCGTTTTCTCACTGGTTATTGTATTCAAGTTGCCAACTAGTTCAGGACACACATACATGTGAAAGAAGAAAGGCTGTACTCAAAAGTGTAGCCTTAAAAGATAAGAAAGATGGGTGAAGGAAGGAGGGAGAGTGATTTGAGGAAAAGTTGGAAAGGTGGATTTTGGAGGTTTGAAAGTGGAAGGGTGAGGACCTGAGCCGCAAGGAGGATTGTTGGATAAGACAAGGATAAACAATAGTTTATGCGTGCAGAACAATTTGTATTTACAGGGAACAAGTATGCCCATAGAGTAATACTTTGAGGAGTAGGACAGATGAAGCTACCTTGATAAAAGTTAGCAAAAGAAAGGATGGCACTGAGAAGAAGCAATAAGGAATACGCTTTTGGGGGTCCCTGTTGGCCCAGGAGACGAGCTGTCCGTTGGGCTTTTTTTTTTAACTCTTTCTGCCCTGTGGGCATTAAGAGGGCTTCTTTTTGCAAGCCCATTGTGGGCCTGGCCGAACCCACAATGGGGCTGCCGGGTGGTGAGGGACGGGGCCCGACATATCCGAACGGACTACCCCCGAAAAATTCCTAGGTATTTTTCTACCCGTTCGGATTCGAGCCCAGGTCCCCCAGAGCAATAGGCTGCCACTTTGACCGCTCGGCCATCCGGCCGCTGTCCGTTGGACTGGTAGTGGTATAGTCCATTAGTTTCAGGTGTCTCACGAAAATCTTGAATTCTTGATAGATGATCTGGTCTTCTATAAAGGTGTATAGTTCGCAGGGTCAAAGATACCCTCGTTCCACAATAGCCTTACAAAGATTTGCACGGTGACTAATTCACGACAGTAATACGAGCAGCTAAATACTCCACTGTCTGGAAATGTGTTACGTTGAAACATCCTGTGCTGGGTACGCGGAGTTGCCACTGTGATCCTGTACATTTTTTAAAATATTTTTTTAACATCAACAGAAAGTTTTCAAAATAATGAAACCACAAACTGAATGAGCAATTGTTTATTGTGACATCGTCACAATGCCGAGCAACAAGTTTTAATCATATTTTTAATTAATTTAAAATATATGCTCTCGATTTTAGTAATGTCTTGCCCCTGTACATCATATTTTTCCTGGTAACAATAAAGTCATGCTGGTCATCTATCGAACTCCGTTATGGAGAAAATTTTGAATTGAAACAATGTGACTTCCTATCCAAACCGGAAATTGGTACATAGTAAATTGGGGTATCCAGCATCTATGCTTTCTATATCTGGTCTCGACTTCCATCTAACTCTGTTCTTGAGATTAAGGAAGTACAGACAGTCAGACGCCAGTGGAAATTTATAGGTCTGCAATTTGAAAATTGCAGCGCAAATATGTATATAAAAATTTATATTGGTCATTTCATGGAGTTGTCTTGTCAAAGGGGATGACGAAAATATGATGGATACAGAGTATTGTATAAAATATTATCTAATAATAATACATGGTATTCTACGGGATGGGTTAAAATTAACCAGGCGTTCAGAAATAGCTATAATTTTTGTAATAATAATGCAATAATAATTAAATTTATGTATACATGAACAACAGTCACAGTCAATGGAATTTTATAGTTCCTAGATGATGTAACAGTGACAGAGAGGCCGTACACGCTGTGTTAAAAATAAAGATTGCCGACCGCTTTCCTGTTCGGGACCTAACGCAGATTAATGCAATTTATGTGTGGAAATCAATGGTTGCTGTGCAGAGATGGTGGCGTACGGTGAAGGGACACCATGTCACAATCTACCCGGAAACAACCGGGGGTTGTCATTCAAAGGTAAAATGCCCGCAGGTTCGGTTGCAAACGCACAAGAAATGGCTGTCCATCTACGATCTGAGAAAAATGTATCGTTGGTAAATGGCACCGGTGCATAAATTGAATTTTAAGGTATACGTCCGTATTTTTATTTAATAAGGTGCATTTAAACAATCCTTATCGTCTTTGATTCAGAAGTATAGAAATTATAGCAATTTCAAATGCCGAATTACTTTTCACCCACCATACAGCGTATACAGGCTACTGTGTTGCCTTTGTATCGGGTTGCATGGTGTATCAGAACATAGTATTCGAGTCCAGATCATTGGACGGGTAAAGCGAAATCGGCTTAAGAAGAATTAAAAACAATAAAAACAATACAAAAAATTCTGTTTTAAGAAAATCTGGTCATCTAAATGAGTAGTTGGCTTAAAAATGTGGTCATCTGGAAAGGTTTTACTATATATACATATACCCTATCGTATATAAAATATAATTTTAAACTAAATATAAACTAAATTACAACATATGAAGACTTATTCAATTACTAGTAAAATTATTACTTAATACTTACTTATTTACTTCAGACATATTGTAAATATGCAAACTATAAATATTTATTTGTGTGTGAGTTTTTATATAGAAACTAAATTTTGTAATATTGCATCAGTTAATTACGACATATGATTCACTAAAAAGATATTACTTAATTTACTAAAAATAATTATCAATTGTGTCAATTCGGTTAATTTAGCACATGAAAAAATTGTGTAATTTGCTCTTATAACGATGAACTCCAGTAAAGATTTACTTTATGCTATTTGTCAAAATACTAAATAGCAAATAATTAACGGACGGATGACCCGGGCATATCAAGGTCTACCGTTTTGGGGATCCAGGATCGAATTCAGGACACATCGATGAAAAACTGAGTAACCTCAATTTTTTATAGGTATATCCGAGATATTTCGAACCCCACCTCTCATTACCCTTTCGAATCTACGATGGATATGACTTTAAAAATTGCCTTCAATGTTTACAGAACGGTGCCATCTCGTTGGAGGAGCTTCGTGTGAAGTTTTCCGGGTTTTCTTCACGTGATTAGCATCCCAATTTTCTATAGAAATTTTCCTAGGAGGAATCTCCTAGGAATCAGGAAAGCTATTGTTTTTTGAGGTAATTCATTTGCTGTGACTGATCATTTTTATGTAAGGTATATCGAACACATACAATAGTTTTTCACTGCCATTTTTTGGTGAATTGCTTTATTTCTCAAAACTTGCAAGCCATGGATGAAGATTTAGGAATTTAGTTTAATCAACAATAAATGAATATATATCAAATGTTATTCACTGAATATGTATCCAATCACTAGTGCTAATCATCCAATATGCGGATTCCATCAGATTACCATCAGAGAAAACAAGCTTACTAGTTCAAATATGTAGTTGTTGAATGTAAAATATAGAGGAGAAGGTGGTATTATGGAATACTGCGGGTATTATGGAACCACCCCATTTCGAACTGATAATAAAGGCGAACTGTAGCGGAATGTGGCTGAACTGAACTAGGCAGACATCCATAGCAAGGGGAAAACCCGTTTTACTTCAGTTAAACGGTTGTCCGTATTTAATCAGCAAATTTGTTTTTTTCAAAATTCGCAAGTTTTGAATGCTAAGTGAATTTAATTATTTTTAAAATATAAATCGTGTAGTTGTAGGTTCACTGGTGCATGTATTCCGTTCCAGAGACTTAGGGGTACATATTAATCTGTGTGATGTTCACGTTTTTTAAATTTTGGTCTTGACAGACATAAGTTAATTCGAGATGGCGATGCGTGAAATACGGACCCCATTGGTGCTTTTACAGTAATATGGAACTCAACTCCTCCGAACTTTCTATTTGCAAGCAGACATTCCTCCGGAGCAATTTGTGAAAAAGACACTAGGTAGAAAGCCAATTCTTCCTGAGAATATCGAAAAAGAGCTGCTGGAATATATATTGTTGATGGAGGTCATATTTTTCTATTATAAAAGCATTTTTGCGATAAAATACATTGGAGTAAATAATTTTGTAATTATTTAACATTCTTTGTACTTTCCTATTTGTTTTTGGCTACATTAAAGCATTTTTTTAAAAATATACAGTAAGGTTCCATATTACCATCCGATTTTCTCTAAGCCTACTTTCGGACTTTTTGTACAAAAGCCTTCAAAAACCATACTTATAGTTACACTAGCGAAAAATCCAATTAGGAACATTTAGATTACTAGTTACCAGTACTTTTCGCACAAAAAATGTGGGTATAGTTATGATACCTTGTTTACAATTCACTAAAATGTAATTGGGGTTCCATAATACCACCTTCTCCTCTATTGAATATTATTTCTTTGTATAAAATAGAATTACAAAGTATTATTTTTATTCTCTATTCAATGCAAAATACTTATACGCTGCATATAAAGATATTACAATTACTTTATATTTTAAAATTGGTGTACATTTTTCTGATTCATTAAACAGTAATCTGTCTTGTCGCGCGCGCGCCAATTTCACGCACGACACCACAGATTACCTCTATAAAAACTATTCATAACTTAGTTGAGAAAGAATTAATCTAAGTAGTTGGAATTAAATAACTGTATTTAACGCAATAATTATTTATGAAATTATTTGAATTTTACATAAAACATAACCTATTTAACAGTACAGTTCCTGTATTACTCAATAAGTAATTTGCAACATGTAATATTCATTTAATATCAGCAAAAATAAACAAAGATAATGTAAAAAGTTTTATTTTTTAATAATTTAAACCCATATAAGCAGTTAAATAGGAACTCCTTGCTATTCAATTGTAATCGATACACCTAACTATTAATTACGAAGCGAACTTTGGCTCCTTAATTGATAGTGATTGCGTTTAAAGTTCTAAATTATCATCAATGGGATATTTCAGACAAAAATTTCAATAAAACTTTGACCATGAACAAAAATATGGCTTTGGCTCGAGGCTTTTAAGATGTGCCTAATTAGGACGATGCTGAGAATTTCTTTGAGGAGGACACAAAATAAATTCGTGTTGCTCGTTAAAGTGAGTTAACTCTCTCTAGCATGAGGGCACTAAAAGAGCCTTGTTTGAAAGTTTAACTAGTTAGTTTAACATGGTTCATTCAAGACATGAGTGATGGGAGACATGACCATACATATAACTTACGAAAATTTTCAAGAATTCGAGAGAACTCGAACCCGAATTCTCCAGAATGGCAGGCTAATGTAATTTTAGAATTGATAAAATATCTTTTACATAATCGATAAAAAACAAAGGGTTTTCTGTAAGAAATGATTTTTTCATATTGATTATATTTAATTAATGGAATAAGATAATAAAACAAGAGCGATCTGTCGTGGAGGGTTCATTTCTATGGAAAACTGGGGCCGTATTCTGGTCACCGTCTCTGGTCTCTCGTCTCTCACAAGCCGGTCGGTGATTGGTTAATCCAAATGATTAGCCAATCAGCGACCAGCATGTGAGACGACGAGAGACCAGAGACAGTGACCAGAATACGGCCCCTGGTCCGGTTTAGGTATTAGATACGTGTAATTCTGAATTCATCTTCACATTATAAATATTATTTTATGAGAAATAAATTGTCTCATTCGATCTTCAATTTTATGCAAATTGTTCAAAAATCAAATAAAACCTCGTCAAATTTTTATTTTGTTTTTAATTGTTAAATTTAATTAACCCGGCTTCAAAATTACAAAATAGGAAGTATGTAAGAAAGGAAGATGATGATGACATATTAAATTTTTAAATTAGGACACGATTTTCTGTATTTTCGGCAAAGCAAAGCACCATTTGTACTGTACTCAAGCCTTATCAAACAGGAGTCAGCAGAAGCAAGGGCGGATTTAGAGCGGTTATGAAAGGCGCAGCTTTATCCCCTTCTGAGGGTTTTCCCTAGTAAAACTCAGGTAGTTAAAAATGTACTAAGTCGTATTGTTTCCTTTCTGCATCTCATTTAGAGTTTTGGAACCGCTATTGAGTAGGGTCCCTGTTTTGGTTGGGATCTCACATTTACAGAACCACAAAAAACATTTGTCACAAATTATTTGTTACAATTATTTTAATTGCATTTCTTGTAAAATTATAAAAGCTTTTATGTAATTTGCTTGGTATGTCAGCAAATCTTGCAACTCAAATTTAAGGTGCCATCCCCTACAAGTTTCGGCCTAAGACCGTTTTAATGGTGTTTTATGAGATGTCATTTTATCATTACATAATTGACTTTATGTACTGTATATAACTCATAATTAATAAATTAAATAGCTCAATAAAACTATATCATTCCTTTAAATTTATATTAGTTTTAGATTTATTTTCTAGAATATCCATTCTAGAAGTTATTCTAGATGGATGATTTACATAGAAAGGAGCTAAAATAAACAAACCAATAGCGTACTCTGTTTTATTTGAAACGAAGAATGCCATTGGCTCGCTTACTTAACTGCTTGCTACCTCCTAGAAGCACCCAAGTTTCATCAAAATGAACTAATATCCATTTTTATATTGTAATGAAACAATTTATTTTATTAATAAACTATTCTAAAAATAATATTTGTCAATTTTTAATTTAAAAAAAAAAATGTTATTTGGCTATATTTATATTTTGTCATAATTTTTTCCTCCATATTTAAGTATTGGTTTAATTGTTAGTCAATTCTGTTGCCATAATGGGGTGTTTCCGTTGTAATAGTCGTTTTTGCGTGAATTTAGCTGGAGTTATTACAATTGTAAGTTGTTTTTTTTTGTTGTAATTTTAAAAATTAATTTAAAGAATAAATAATTTCAGATAGAAAGTGTATTTGGTATAACCTGGAATATATTTGCTATTGTTATCATTCGGAAACCATACGTGTCCTTTGGTTATGAAATATTGGATGAAATAGCTGAAGATTTTTCGTCTGTAGAAGATAAAATTAGTAAAAATTTAATTTAATTTAATCTATGAAATTTTAATAAATTTCTTTTGTTAACTTGTATTACTTTCAGTTGTTTACAGACTATTAGTGTTCAGTGCTATATTAAATGGGGTATGGTGTGCTGCTTCGGTGTTTTTATTAATAGGGAACAAGGTAATTTTCATACTTAATATTAATTATTAAAAGTAGTCTATAGTTCTCTTTTTATCTTAATATACAATAGAATATGAAATATTTTAAATTTGTTTTATCGGTGGCATCATAATTGAGTTTGAAAATGATATTATTTAACATTTATTCTTAAATATCACGTTGCAGTGCCATTACAAAATTGAAATTTTGGGTTGACCTGTTAATATTGTGCGATATTTAGTTTTATATTTAGTGATACTAGAATTATTCCTTTAATTTTTAAAACACGATGTAATAGGTATAAGGATTAGGCCTAATTAAATTAAATTGTTTGTACAATATTTCACCAGAATGTGCTTAACTCATCTTTGTAAATTTTAAGTCAGAAATTCTAATTGCAATAACAATTGTAAAATAGAAGAAACATTGTGAATTAATGAATTTTATTGATAATTAGTAAATATGAATTTTTTATAAACGTAAATTTCAAAATGGTAATAAAATATAGCTTTTTAGAGTAGATAAAAATGCATATATTTCTAGATACTTGGTGGTATACAGTACATTACTATAGATCGGGTTCTTAACCTCTTTGTTCAGTGGACCCCTTCTTCATTAGGTGAAGGTCACGGATCCTATCTTAGAATAATGTTTTAAATGCATAAATGTATATATTTTTTAATAATGGTATCTATTCTTAACATAGCTATTATGTGAAATTGTTAATTTTTACTCATCGAAGCCCACGGACTCCTGATTAAGAACCACAGCTATAGATATTATTACTGAAATACTTGGCCACTGATGGGTTTCTAATTCTGTGTAGCAATCTTAAAACGATTATATTAAGCTGTGTTTAGTAATTTATTTAATGTTCCAAGCTTGAACTTGTTGAAAAGTTCAATAATTTAACAATATTGCGGGTGTCTAGAATTGATCATAATGAAAATGAATGATGGATATATACTTAATTATATATACTATTATTAACTCCAATAACTAGAGCTCTTATGAAAAGGAATCATTTAATAATAGTTTTTTTTTATTTTTTCATCTTTTTATAGTTGAAATCAATCTGCTTAATTACCCAATGGATAATCACAATGATACTGGTTTTCCTTGGGAATTCGTCTGCAACAATATATTTCGGTTACAAAGCATGGGTAAAATGAATTTTATAGAATTAATATTTTTAGATTTTTGAAAAGTTTTAAATTAAAACTAAACTTTAAATCCCTCCTTTTTCAGGTGGACGTAAAGATGTCAGGATATACATTTTTAGAAGTTTGTAAGGATCTGTTTAAACTGGACAACGTCACTCATATCATTTTATTTATATTTTTTTCACGTGGATTCATATTAATATTTCTAAATGTAATAATAATTTTCTAAAATCAGCTATATATATATTCTTCTTTCATTAAGAAATTTATAAATTTTTTTTTTGGCAGGTTGTGTTTATTAGCATTGCTTGTTCGAGGTGTATTACAATTCACAACAGAAGAAACCAGGTATTATTTGTTTTTTATAAGCAAGAATGTTATCTTTTTAAATTTCTTTTTTAATTATAAAATAATATATTTTGCAGAAAATATCTTTGTTACCGTGCAGCACAGTAGATAAATATTTAGACGATAAACAAAACTCGTTCACAGGATCGCCTGAGAGTTGTTATGGTTCATACACTTCAGAGAAAGATACGAAATTATAATTATGCTTTTTCTTTTCAAAGAAATGTTTTTAAAATTTATGAAAGTGTTTTTTTTTTCATTTAACTGTGTTTAAATTTCTATTAACTTTAAAATTAAAGCTTGTGTACATTTCTCTTCTACTCCTTCAAATCTTGTAATCGGGAGTTTTCCAGCATTATCAGATTTATTTATATAATAAAGTAAAAGTATTTTTATTTAAATATAATAAATGGCTTAATATATTTTTAAAGACAAGTTCATCTTATTCGTGAATAATCGCTTAAAATTTTTGATTACACGTTTAATTATTCTACATTAAAATTCTGCTTTTCCTTAAGTAGAGGCCTCTATCTAAAAAATAATTCGTAGTAAAATTTAAATTTCGTACACTATATAGTAAGGAAATTGGATTATATATATGTATAAATTTTAATGAGAAAACTAAACTGTTACTCTTTTACAATAATTGGCTGACATTTGGTCCACAGTTTCAGTATAAAATTAAATTGTAAGCTATTTTATCCCAAAATACATCATACAATTTGATATGCTTATGGTGTGTATTCAGATTTGAAAGGAAATTGCTGTTTTTCCTGAAAATTCTAACTCTTGTAATTTACGCGAATCTCTTAATAAATTCATACCTCGATCCTCATCAAATGAACACTATCAATTAAAATATGAGTGTTCTTTTGAAATACAGTATCAATTAAAATTCTAATCACCCTGTATAACGGGTGGTTATAATTAAAGTGACGGTTGCCAGACGTGCGTAGAAATCCCTACTGAACCAAATTGAAACTCGTTACACATGCAATTCAGATCACGGAGATATTTACAGGAGAAAAATTAGTTTAAATTTTTACCACCAGGAAAAAATAAGGCGCCGTTCAGTCGAAAACGTGTTTTTGGCCATGGGGGTTATTTGAAAGATCGTGTCTATTAGGAGTGCGTGCACTCCTCTCAGATTCCTCCTGAAATTTACATAAGGCAGTCTGATATTTTTATCCTTGCAGCGCCACATTTTCTCCGATGGTAAAAATTTCAACTAAATTTTTTTCATCCCGTAAATCTCTTATCCACAATCTGCATTGCATCTATACCGAGATTCGTTCGATTCGGTTCAGTAGAGCCGACTCCATGCGTGCCTGAGTACCATCGGTTTAATTTTAATTACCGTGTAATGTTGATGCCTTTCTATTCTAAATTAAATATTTATTTTTTATTAGAGGAACAGAATGGTTATTGTTACAGGCAACAAGCAATGCTTATAACAGAGCATTATGGTTAGAAATATTTTAGAAAAAATCTGAGAACTCGATCCCTTACTTTTTTAATTACATATTAAAATAAGCAGGAAATCCTCGATGATAATATATCGAAGATTGCTTGCTTCCATCCAATGACTCGTTTACTGAATTGGTCTTCATGATATTCTCTAATTTTCTCCCAGGTTTACAAGAGTCCGAGGGATAAAACCACTGAACAGTGAACCAATGACCAGTGGGCTGTTCACTTAGAGTTTTCCGAGTTTCCTTCACATGTCTAATAGTAAAACTGGCCATTTTCGCATGGTATATCTGCCCTAAAGACACACTGCCTTGAAAGAGTTTACATGTTGAGTTGTTGTATCCTTTCAATCCTACAGTCCTTGAGCACATTTCCTACACAGAAAATATGCACATATTTTTCTGTGTGGACAAGTTTCCTTGTGGATATTTTTCATGTGTGATTCTTTCTTGCTAGGACTTTATGGCCATTCTATATAATATCATTACTTAATTGCATAACATGATTTTGAAATGCGTTCAAGATTTTATTCGAATGTATTCTGAAATCTATACAAGTTTCAAATATCAAAACTAAATAGCTGGTAAGAGTTCCTACTTGAATTTCCTAGCACTCAGAAAAGAGGTTAAAGGAATAAAAAAGGAAGTCAGATAATTTTCAGCTGTACTATGGTATAAAATAATAGCTTATGTGATTGTGTTAAGTTATGAGATTTTTACTTTAAAAATATGTAAGTTGAGGAAAAACACTGAGTATTGCTCAAATCGAAAATAATGTTTATTTATTAAACACTGACTTTATAGTATATTTTGAAGACATGTGGCAAATTTTTTGAAGAAACGTGGCATGGTAAAGTACCAAATAAATAAAGATAAATGAAAAAAATTGTCATGTGTCTTCAAAATACACTATAAAGTCAGTGTTTAATAAGTCAACAATAGGAAAAGGACACGGTTTCAAAACAAATACAAATTGAAAATAATGTGTAACGCCATCTGTTCCGAGATTTTATTAGAACGTAATTTTTATATGGTTAACTATTATAAAAAGGCAAAAGCCTAATTTTTTGTAGTAAAAATGGATTTTTACCAACATTTGAAAGCAAATAAGAAGTAAAATTTTTATTAATTTAAGTGTCCACATACTCCAATTATAACCCCTGTCCCACGTCTCCTCCTGACTCTTATAATCTCTAAATTTAATAAAATCAATGCCTTATATCACCTATAGAAGTATTGCTGCTGAATTTGAAAACTTTTGGGTCCTATAATTCTGAGATATAATGCAAAATTTTTAAGTTAGAACATTTTAAAAAATATTAAAATTCGTGAAACATTTCGAAAAATCATCTTTCAGCAATTGTATAATTTTTATGAAATCGAAAGAAATTATACAATTATACTCTTGGATTCAGTAATTCTCTGTTTAAAATTAAAACTTTTATTCTTCCAAAAACCCAATTATATCCTTTAATAACTTGTAAAAAAATAAACCAATTCTTCTTTCTAATATTGACTATTAAATAAATTGAACTTATTGAAAAAATTTTTAAATCTCTGTATAGTTTCGATTTATTCGTATACTGCTACTCGACACATGTTTTACAAACTAAGCTCAGAGTAGACGTAAATGAAACACAAGTCCCTAGTTAAATGTTACAAACGTAAAATACACATCAATAGTACGTAACAAGCCACTTAGCCACACGCATACATAAAAAACAACGAACAATTTTATTCGTATAGACAAAAACAGTCTGACAAAAAAATAGATGATATCTCTATCTCTTAAATTGCAGAAATCATAAGAACGATAAATATTTAAAAGTGAAAATATTTTAAAAATTTCTCCAATAGAATATTTCGATTTTTAAACGAATTTTTCAAAAATTTCTGAACATATGACTGTCTGTGTTCAATTTCACGAAAAAATTTTTCGAATCAAATGAAATTGAACACACACAGTCATATGTTCAGAAATTTTTAAAAAATTTGTCAAAAAACGGAAATTTTTGATTCGAAATTTTTTTTCGTGAAATTGAACAGAGACAGTCATATATGTTCAGAAATTTTTAAAAAATTTGTCAAAAAATTAGAACATTATATAAAGTTATGATTTCATTTTAATTTATGTATAATATTATAAGAAAAATTTAGTATGTAAAACGAAAATTTTGGTTTTTATTTTAAATATTTTATTATTTTTATTAATAGAAATTTATTATCTTACAGATATGGAATCATAGAATACATTTTGAAAAACATGGGTTTTATTGATCGGCGCAATCATGGATTTTTGTTTGTTTTTGCAATCGAGTTAAAAAGTTTTAGAAATTATAGTGGTGAAGTTAATGTGCTTAGTGATCAGACGTTACACTTTCGATAATGTGACGCTTCGTTTGTTTTTTTTTTTTGTATTATGCACTACCCTATTCTGTAATCTACTTATGAATAATTCATTCCTAAAATTCGATATTTAAATAAAAATTAATCGATGTAATTATTTGTTTCTAAGCCTTGTTTTCTTGATAAATTTTCTATGGATGTCCATGCTGAAAATATAGTGTAGCAAGTTGTCAGTACAAAATAATTATTTTAAAAATAACAAATACAAATCTGATAATCAACAGTATTTGTTTAAATAAAAATTTTATTTTTATAATATTGGATAAAATTATTACATAATATGTTTCGTTTTTTCTATAATTAAGTATTTTAATAGGTATATATCTGAATGATAATTAATTTTTTAAATGTTCTCTTTTCTCAATGTTTTTATACACAATATAATTTGTTCACATAGAGCAAATACCAAATATAATACAGATTAGACATGGCTAATCCGACATTATTGTAATTTGTAAAATGCCGGATAGTAATTTCCGGATTACTAATAGATTAGTTAACAGTTGGAATTCTATCTCAACCTATCTTCAAAATACTCTGTAAAACGGTATAACACGTTAATTAGAAAATAAACATGAATTGAAAATTCTTGTTAGATTATCGTACATCTGGCAACACTGAATACTGCAACAATAGAGGCTCGTTGGTGAGGGCGACTTGAAAAATTTGAAATTACCTTAGCCGAAATTAATGTCGGATTAGTGATTGACCTGTTTAATTTTACATAAATATTAACACAGTGTAAATGTCAATAATTGTTCCATTGCATTCTCCCGTTTCAATTTGTAGTTTTGTTTTTAGATAAATTCATTTCATTTGTGTCAATATAAATGTTTTCGGCCCTCTTGTAAAATCCACCATTTGCGTTTTGTGGATACTCGCAAATACTCCTATGGTAATTTTGTAAGGACACGGCTGGATTAATTACGCTTGGTTCTTCGTAAATGCAGCATCTTGTTAATTGCTCCAGAGAGTAACTTGTACCCCAAAACTGCAAAATAAAATAAATATATAAATTATATTCGAGAAATAAAGAATTTGTAAATTGTTAAATTTGTTGGACACTGTAATTAAATTACACTTATTCAGAGCTGTTTAAAGAGATATTTGAAGTCCAAATGCATCCAAACTTGGTATGGTGACATTTGAAACATTTTGGCACCGCAAGTGACATACATTATATATGTACAGTACAAAACATTCATACTTTATAGAAACCATAGCAATGCAGGGGATACTGCTTAATATGGTCGTATTCTATAGATGTAAAACTTGAAGATAATGAACAGTGTGGTCAATAGCCAACCATTATGATACTTCTCGCATATATGACATTGTCTGTCATGGTTGCCAAATTTGCAACATGTCTTTGATGAATCATATTTTTTTAAGCCACAGCAAAGCCGTTCTTTGCATCTAAATCTTATAATTATAAGATTTAGATGCAAAGAACGAGAAATGCACCACGAAGCATTCATTTATCTGTGAATTGTTGTAGAAAGTGCTGTATGCCTCATTCGATGTGTGGAAGTAGTTTCTCCATTTTGCAAATCACTGTATTGTTGCATTTGGGGTTCGACAACTGTTGAGTACGTCGGTGTCTCTTGTCACAGTGTATCACAGGCCTCTTGGGACTAGCTTATTCGGAGAATAGTTCAATGAAGCTGTGAATACATACTTGATTGTAACTTTGGGCAAATACAGATGAATCTGCTGGAAAACATAAATGTTTCCCTTGGCATAATTGCGACAGTTACAGTTCACCATTCACTAATTTGAAAGTGTGCTCGTCGCTCTACAGCATTTTCCGAGGACAAGACACTGAAAATTCTGTCAATACAAAGGTCGGTCGAATTTTCTCTGTCAACGGAAAGTAATTGCTGGTTGCAACTGATCTTATATAAGATAACAATGAATTGACTTTCTCGTTAGCTTCCACACTGCCATAAGATAGGATACTCTACCACCTGACTCCAACCTGTTATTTATTGAGTGTTCAACAACAGCTGTAATGACATCTTTAACGGTTTGCGTTCTGAGGTGGGTTGAACTCCCAGACGTAGTTTCCTCGAATCGATTGATCATACTCCAGAAAATTCAACGGTCATCAGCATAAAATTTTCTGATGGCGAAATTCCTGAAGTATGGCCGCAGCATTGCTACTGTTTTTATAAAACAGTTCCACAAGAAAGCGGCATACAACATGGTGATTGGCATCACAGCTGGTAAGACTGAAATTCAACAATTGTGGCCACTTTTATGCCAGACTTTGATCGCAGTCGTGTGGTTATCAAAAGAAACTGCTCTTGTATTGCTTGCAGCGCCGAAAGTGCCATAATGATGAGTTTCGGTAAAAAAAATTTTACGGGAATGTTTTCCGCATGTCCTGAAATGTAACCATACCAGCTTTAGATGTATTTGGACTGCTAAACATCTCTGCAGACAACGTTGAATAGTAGAACTTCAATTATGATCATCCAATCGAAGAAAGTAATATTGCTGATTCCAATTTTATAGGCCCCAATATAACGAATTTTAGAAACAACAGACAAATCCGCTTGTTTCATCATCTATGGACAAGAATTTCAGTGATGTTGCTGTTAGTGCATAGATATCCGCTAACCAGCGCATCGATATTGTTTACGTCCCTGAAAGTGTAGTGTTTGTTTCTCTCGATGTCTGTATTTATTATTATATCTTATATAATGTTCATTTTGTAGTCGTCCAAGACGTCTTTTGATACAATTGATACTATTGCACCATACTAAATTATTGTAACTAACACCAATTCTGTATATTATCGAAAGAGATGTTGAAGATCTACATAACACAAATGTTTTATAATTATGTAACAACCAGATTATACCTGAAAAAATTGACCCTATTGAGGAATCAGCAATGCCAAGTGAAAATTAGCAATGGCATATTAACTCTGCCAATTTTCTTTCAAGAATTAATTATCAATAAAATGAATTAATGACTGTTGTACGTCACAATGCTATTAAAGATTTATAAATACTTAACTTTTCTATTTCATTATAATGTAATCCTAAATAATATAAAATAAATTTATACTTACATCACTAGATTTCTTGAACGTATCAATGGATCTTCTCCTCAGGGCCACTACTATTATGAATATGATCTGAAATGAAGATAATTTGTGTATTGTTTTGCATCACGTACCAATTTCATATATTCTTTTACTCATAAAATTAATGAAACTTAAATAAATCACCAATTAAAATTTACATAAATCATAGTAAACCCACTTACATTTGCTACAAGGAATATTCCCGCTTTACCGAATATAACGGGATACTGTATTTTAAACCAGACTCCACAAGCAGTTTTGCCTTTAAGATTGGGAGGACCATCCTGTTTTTTGTGCAAAAAAAAAAAATATTTAAATTCAAAATATTGAAAATTCAATGGCAAAGATATAAATTTGTGATTCTTACTTTCAACAAATCGTAAGTGAAATAACTCGCGGAGGCAACATCGATCATTAATATTAACGATGCGATGACGATCCATAAACAGAGGATTTTCCGATATTTTTTCTGTTAAAATATTAATTTTTAAAGTACATTGCCGTAAATATAAAATTTACCAATTTAAACGTCACTTACTGCGTTTCCTCTAATCAAAATAAACGATGATATCAGCCATAGTATATGGAGGAATGTGGTGATTATTACAGTTATAAATAGTACTATAAAGAAAAACATTTTTAAGCAAACTCATGAAAATACTTTCTATATTTTACAGCTAAGTAACTTTAATTTCTATTAAAAAAGAATATATTACAGCTTGACCATCACCAATTCACGAGAGCGATTTCAAATTTCTATAGTCACCGCACAAATCCGCAATTACTGTTTGGTGATAGCTGCTGCATTTTCAAACACTGCTTGTTTTTCTATTTGTCTTTTGTTCATTTTTATTATAACCTGTGTACCTTTAGCCTCAGTCATGGCTTCAATGAATACAAGGAAGATCTTTTCATGGTGTAAAGCGCAAACACAATACGTTGTCCATAACAATTAAGGTATAACTTTTGAAAATCTTGATGGTGGCTCAAATTCTTTATTGAGTTCCCCCCATTAACCAACATATACTGAGTTACAGTGTGTTTTAAAGATAGAACGAACTGGTTAGCTGTTTGGTTAAGTGTATTCTGACCTAATCATCAGTAATCCTGCAAC